CCTCAGATACACGGCAGGTGTATCCGGTTTTGGCGAGACGTCGATGCATTCGACTTTCCTGACGATGTAGTCCTAGAACGACTAATGCAACATGGTACATTCGTCGCTTATTGCGTCGATCAGGGTTGTTGACTAGGGAGAAATTTTTTTACTTGATGCTATTTCAAGTTGTTTTCAGTTGTCAACTATCCGTGTCGTATCGGTCATTTCAAGCACTCAGCCAGGCGCAGGTTATCCGACAGAGGTTGGTATCCTCGTTGACGCAATTATCAACCGTATTAACTACGGAATCTTCAACTCGCGTATGTGAAGCACGCATGCACTGGCATAGCGGCCCCTCTTTTCTCTGAATAGATCTATTCTGAATTCTACGGTCCGCTGGCATTTTAAGCCTTTTATTCCCCAAATTGATCTATTCTGAATGGTATAGTCCGCTGGCATAGCGGCCTCTTTATTCCCTAAATAGATCCATTCTGAATGGTATAGTCCGCTGGCATAGCGGCCCCTTTATTCCCCAAATATATCTTTTCTGAATTCTATAGTCCGCTGGCATAGCGGCCCCCCTGTTCCACTGGGAACTGTTCTTCACTTTTTAACTCCGAAATTTCCCATCATTTTCTGATGAAGCTCCTTCTCTGGATTGGTTGAAGAACATAAACGTTTCACTCGTGCAATCCATCATATCAGCCACATGCACAATTTTGCCCCCTCCGCCTAGACGTTCTCCAGTGCTTGTTCTATCTAGTAATGACCGGTACAATGGAAGCAGTCTGCGAGGACGAGAAGAAACAGTGTACTCCAGACTCTCGTGCAGGAATCCGTTAGGCTGTTGTCCTTCAGGCGTTCCCACTGGAGAGCTCAATGATGATCGAAGTGGTTGCCGATGCATCACAGGATAGCATCGCCGAGTCTTCAAATTGGTGAGGGATACTTTTGGTCGAATTATCTAGCTGTGGAGCTCATTCTTGATTCTGATGCTGACTTGTTGATTGTTCTCAAACTTGATTCTTGGATTCGGGATCAATTCTGCTAGTCCACAATGTGGACTCCACATTACTCATATTTAATCGTGAGTAATGTGGTACCGCACCATTGATGCGACCCCATATACATGCTCGAAAAAGAGCTCGCATAATGGACAAGCGATGTTTATCGATTTCTAATGGAAATCCCTCATATCCTCAGACTGTTCAATGATCATTTTCTGGTCTGGGAGAACGTTTTTCTTGGGAGGCTCTTGATAAGAGCGAATTAGAAAATAGTCTGTTGAAATTTTCCCCTCCTCGGCCCATTCTCTGAGGAGGCTGACCGGTCCAGCTGTGGATGGGTTTACACCCGCTGTTCACTCTATGAGCGACTTTTGAGAGTAGACAACTTATCTCGGAATGAGTGTCCTTGCAGCTAACAATAAGTTGGAGGGAACTCGCGGGATAACACAATCTCTCCAGTGTATCCCTTCTCCAGCGCGTAATTGACGGTCGCTGGCATTCCCGTGGGCCGGCCGATGAGCCATAAGCAGCAACAGGAAATCTTTCACATACTGGGAGTCGTAAATGTTATTTCAGGACATGACGAAATTTTTTGACGTATTATTCGCAGAGCTTGTTGTAATTATATCTCTAAACGTCCAGACTGTGAGCTCCACAGTGTAGTCTGCAGCAACAATCCCCACTGCCTAGTCCCCACGTCAAAACTCTGCAACTGCACCTCAACTTGTATCTGATAGATACTACCTAGTGATGTGCTCAAGGCCGAAAGCTTCTCCTCACCATGTGCTGTCATTTCACAAGACTCGCAGACTGCGCGGCTCAGTGTTGCGACCTCTACGATCTCAACGATAAGAGTTTTTGGAAGCGACCATTCAGATATTCAACCAACTTCATGCCTATCATCAAGGACCTCCCTAAGGACCAGATACCTGTTGGATTAGAAAATGCTGAGGGTCGTTTCTCTAGCTCTCATAGAAGCTCTGAGGGCCGTTAACTTATAGATGGCCAGCGTAGCGTTTTTTCATGGTTTACATTACGGTGTGCGTAACGTAGGTAGTGTACGGTCACGGAAAGGACTAACGACTTTACGGTTGGTGCTCTACTACCTTTTTGGAATTATGGCCGAAACATTCGTTGCTAGGCACTTCACCATAGCTCAAATAGTTATTGAACTCATTTCCCGTTGCTCGAATTCAATCAAACCGTTGAGAGAGTAACATTTAGTTTCGCATTGACCACTCGTCTCCGTTTCAAATTCCGTCAGTCTTGCTCCCAGGCTGGCCCGAAATTGCTTAGCCGGCCGCGTCTACGGACGCGTATCGACATGGAATAGTCTTAGGCGACTTGAATGGTCAATCCCCATTTCGTCTATTGCATTTCCGTAAGACCCGTTACGGCTCCATAATTTCACGGTACGGGGCTTGAGCGTAACTGTGAAAGTGAGCCGTAACGGTCCGTAACGTAGTTCTGCCCATCTATACGTTAACTCTCTGCAGTAACTGCGATATTGTTATAATTCGACGCAATTCGCTATAAACTGCAGACCAGGAAGAGATGAGATTGCGAGATAGCGAGTCTATCATGCAAGTATCATCATTCAAGTGGTCGGGTCCCAACGTACTGATCATGCATTACCGGTTATATTGACGACTTGGAGGTGGGTTTAGCACCTGATATTGGTCCTAGCTATAGTCAGTGGGATGCGCAGCGCAACTTACGTTATTGCGCCGTCATAGCAATAGTGTGATAGATGATCCTCCAATCTCAGAGATGAGTCTCGGAGAGGGAACAACCGGTTTGATCTGTCGCGGAGCTCACTCTCATCCTCGCCGCGGGGACCTCGTGATTGCTCTTTTAACGGGAATCGTAGGGTATAAGTTATAACACAACAGTTGTTTATCTATGTCGCCTGATGAGAAAGGCAAAGTCAGAGATTGGTTCACTGTCAAGGATCCGCAGACCACGAATCAGCGTAGGAAAGAACGAGCATGAAAAGCCAATATTTCGATAGAAAGTGGATCCTCGCTCTGATAGCAAGGATCGGACGGCCTGAGCGGTACGGGCGAAGGCACAAAGCACGCGATATGCTTCTGGATGTAGCGAGCCTACACACACAGCTCGCCAGGATCGAGGTCGTCCTTCAGAAGGGGATAGTAAGCTTGCTTCAGGATGCCACATTCACCTGTGCATGAGAGATGGGAGGATAAGACCGAGAGCGTTCACACCTTCGCCACCTTTTCCACGGAGCAGTCTACCATACCCCTGCATTCCCCAATCCGTGCCCCAGGAGTTCTTGAACTCCCAATATCTATGAGCAGATTGGTCATTCTCAGTGAAGGCCACACTCACTTGGTGCCGTCTTTATCCTCCCCATAACCAGTGATCAACACGCTGTGCGATGACTTGGATTTGTCGCAGGCGTCAGCTGGAAGGGAAGAGAGCAGTTAACATTTTCTAGAGGAAGCCGGGGGTGCGAAGCCTTCGAGAGTCCCCAGAAATTGTTTGCTGACCCACCCGGCTTATTCTCACGAACGCTCTGCCCCCCATAGGGATGACATCACTGAGCAGTCGAGGCCTCACATTTGTAGATCCCCCCTTTATATTGCTTGAAGTCCGCGGGGAAAGCGTTGAGAATTGCGGACACTGGCTGCTGAGCTACACCCTCCAACAGCTCCTCAAGATCTCCTTCCTTGATCGGCCACCAACCAATCAAATCCTTAGGCTGATTATAGAAAGCTTGAATGATGATGCTGATACACAGAACTCACTGCCAAGCATTGCTTGTGTACATCCCTGGTTATAGTGGTCTTGCATGTACCAGCTGCCGCGACGTAAGGGTAAGCGGATTCTGACACGATCCCCTCCTCGTCAATGTAATGGTAACTATTATATTGGAAGCCTCCTGTGCAACCCCTGAGGAAAACGAGTAGACTCTCGGAACGCCCACAGCCAATCAACAGTTGATACTCATTGCCGAAAAATGCGCTGCAGTCGACGATTTGTTGAACAGACAACTGGATAAGCTTGTTCGTCTTAATCTGGAAGATACCCTCAGTAGCCTCTGAAGGAACAAGAGAAGATAACCATGAAGATCATCGTGGAATATACCCACCCGTTGTAGCCATAGCATAACAGCAACCACAGCCAGCTTGTTTACGAACAGGAGTGACCGCACCAGCAGCTCGCCAATCTACGCTTTTTGGTGGCGCCAGGACTCTCAACTTTTTCTTGAGACGGGTTCCTTGCAACTCACTTGACCCAAACAACTGATTACTTATTGATCCTTACCCTCTTCAGAGTCAGGATCGATGATCCTCGCGACCTTGCGTGAGATATGGTCGTTGCATACCATCATTTTTTTGAACTCCTCGTCAGTCATCGTGGCAAACTCAGTCAGCCCTAGTTGATACAGCGAATCTGAAATGAGAATGCCCCCGAATGGCGGCGAAAATTTCTCTTCTGTAAGCGTCTTCAGTAATGTTGAAATTCAACCGATACCTGTTGAAGCAGGATGAGGTTTCATCGATACTGAGACCGACCTCACTTTTGCTTGTGTTGCCTGTATGCTTCGTCGAGATCGGCACTGACCGAGAGCAAAGCACCTGTAGCGAGTAAGATGGCTAGATGCATGTAAGCTGCGGTTCGTCAACCAAGCTGAAGGTTTCTGAAAATCGACTGCTAGGACCGAGCAAATGTTGAATCTCTTGGTTTTCTAACCCATTGCGGAGATCGCATCACAGACAGATGGTCCTCTGCCACACATGACCCTCAGAAGGATAGTCGCGAGCCCCACAGTATCCTTTCGGTAAGCGGGTTTCGGCTAATATCGGGAAGTTCTTCCCAAATCAGGAAAGACCTATATTTCATTCGCACACTGCTTACGTGTGCGATTTTTATGGAGCTTAGTGAGTTCGCGTGATTCGCGGTGAATCATGTGTCGCATGCGTGTTGAATTCGTGTTGAATTCGTGTTGAATTCAGAATCCAACACATTTAACGATCACGTGAGCCTCGAAGAAGTGTGGACGTAGACGGTTATTGTTATTGTAATTTCCTTGGGTACTTTCGATCATTCGAAACGCAACTAGTGGTAACTTAACAGCCCAACAAGTATTGCTGGCTTTCCATCCTTGGGATCGCCGACTGTACGTCTCGGGGTTGATAGCGTCTCTCGGTAGGCTTTGGAACAGGGGAGTACTTAGAGAGTTGGAGCGTAATACTATTACGGTAATAGTAATCAGGAAGTGATCACATCGAATCAGCCCTCACTTATCACGTGTGGATATTCGAACAGTTAGGGTTTGACTCTCCAGAAGAACGATAATTTGCACTCGATCGGTGTTCGTCGGTTGCCGAGATAACGTTAGGTTTATATCATGATATGAAGTAATATTCGATACTATGATTTATAATAGTGGTGTACAATTATATGCAGTCCTCGCGAGACTCAAATCAATATCTCATCGATGGATCCATCTCCGTTTGGCATGCGTTGTGAGGATTGATCGATGGATTTTATCAGCATTGACCATAGCTCAGCGGAAGCGAGGGGGAATAAGCCTCCTTAGCGTGAGTATTAGCTCGAATCTTATGGATTAATACTTAATGATACGACGTGGCTCGTATCCTGGATCATTGATTACGGACTTTTCCCACCGCAGTGAATCGTACTTCTTTGGGTGGGCATAAGCCGTCAGAAATTTCACCTTCCATATTTCAGTCTAGTGGGTATTGATCCGCGCAATATATGTGGGAGCTGCTGCTACGGTTGCAATAATGGCGGCAAATATTCCACTTGATCCCTCTATCCATCCAATTCCTCCATCATATGTATCACCATTCTCCCTCAGATACACGGCAGGTGTATCCGGTTTTGGCGAGACGTCGATGCATTCGACTTTCCTGACGATGTAGTCCTAGAACGTCTAATGCAACATGGTACATTCGTCGCTTATTGCGTCGAACAGGTGTTGGCTAGGGAGAAATTTTCTTACTTGATGCTATTTCGATCTGTTTTCAGTGGTCAATTAACCCTGTCGAATAGGTAATTTTAAGAACTCAGCCAGACGCAGGCTATCCCACAGAGGTTGGTATTTTCGTTGACGGAATTATTAACCGTATCAACTATGGAATCTTCAACTCGCGTATGTGAAGCACGCATGCACTGGCATAGCGGCCCCTCTTTTCTCTGAATAGATCTATTCTGGATGGTATAGTCCGCTGGCATAGCTGCCCCTTTATTCCCCAAATAGATCTATTCTGAATGGTATAGTCCGCTGGCATAGCGGCCCCTTTATTCCCCAAATATATCTTTTCTGAATTCTATAGTCCGCTGGCATAGCGGCCCCCCTGTTCCACTGGGAACTGTTCTTCACTGTTTAACTCCGAAATTTCCCATCATTTTCTGATGAAGCTCCTTCTCTGGATTGGTTGAAGAACATAAACGTTTCACTCGTGCAATCCATCATATCAGCCACATGCACAATTTTGCCCCCTCCGCCTAGACGTTCTCCAGTGCTTGTTCTATCTAGTAATGACCGGTACAATGGAAGCAGTCTGCGAGGATGAGAAGAAACCATGTACTCCAGGCTTTCGTGCAGGAAGCCGTTAGGCTGTTGTCCTTCAGGCGTTCCCACTGGAGAGCTCAATGATGACCGAAGTGGTTGCCGATGCATCACAGAATAGCATCGCCGAGTCTTCACATTGGTGAGGGATACTTTTGGTCGAATTATCTAGCTGTGGAGCTCATTCTCGATTCTGATGCTGGTTTTTAGATTGTTCTCAAACTTGATTCTCGGATTCGGGATCAATTCTGCTAGTCCACAATGTGGACTCCACATTACTCATATTTAATCGTGAGTAATGTGGTACCGCACCATTGATGCGACCCCATATACATGCTCGAAAAAGAGCCCGCATAATGGACGTGCGATGTTTATCGATTTCTAATGGAAATCCTTCATATCTTCAGACTGTTCAATGTTCATTTTCTGGTCCGGGAGAACGTTTTTCTTGGGAGGCTCTTGATAAGAGCGTATTCGAAGATAGTCTGTTGAAATTTTCCCCTCCTCGGCCCATTCTCTGAGGAGGCTGACCGGTCCAGCTGTGGATGGGTTTACACCCGCTGTTCACTCTATGAGCGACTTTTGAGAGTAGACAACTTATCTCGGAATGAGTGTCCTTGCAGCTAACAATGAGGTAGGGTTTATCAAAACTCGTTGGAGGGAACTTGCGGGACAACACAATCTCTCCAGTGTATCCCTTCTCCAGCGCGTAATTGACGGTCGCTGGCATTCCCGTGGGCCGGCCGATGAGCCATAAGCAGCAACAGGAAATCTTTCACATACTGGGAGTCGTAAATGTTATTTCCGGACATGACGAAATTTTTGACGTATTATTCGCAGAGATTGTTGTAATTATATCTCTAAACGTCCAGACTGTGGACTCCACAGTGTAATCTGCAGCAACAATCCCCACTGCCTAGTCCCCACGTCAAAACTCTGCAACTGCACCTCCACTTGTATCTGATAGATACTACCTAGTGATGTGTTCAAGGTCGGAAGCTTCTTCTCACCATGTGCTGTCATTTCACAAGATTCGCAGACTGCACGGCTCAGTGTTGCGACCTCTACGATCTCAACGATAAGAGGTTTTGCAAGCGACCATTCAGATATCCAACCAACTTCATGCCTATCATCAAGGACGTCCCTAAGGACCAGGTACCTGTTGGATTAGAAAATGCTGAGGGTCGTTTCTCTAGCTCTCATAGAAGCTCTGAGGGCCGTTAACTAGATGGCCAGCGTAGCGTTTTTTCCACGGTTTACATTACGGTGTGCGTAACGTAGGTAGTGTACGGTCACGGAAAGGACTAACGACTTTACGGTTGGTGCTCTACTACCTTTTTGGAATTATGGCCGAAACATTCGTTGCTAGGCACTTCACCATAGCTCAAATAGTTATTGAACTCATTTCCCGTGGCTCGAATTCAATCAAACCGCTGAGAGAGTAACATTTAGTTTCGCATTTACCACTCGTCTCCGTTTCAAATTCCGTCCGTCTTGCTCCCAGGCTGGCCCGAAATTGCTTAGCCGGCCGCGTCTACGGACGCCTATCGACACGGAATAGTCTTAGGCGACTTGAATGGTCAATCCTCATTTCGTCTATTGCATTTCCGTAAGACCCGTTACGGCTCCATAATTTCACGGTACGGGGCTTGAGCGTAACTGTGAAAGTGAGCCGTAACGGTCCGTAACGTAATTCTGCCCATCTATACGTTAACTCTCTGCAGTAACTTCGATACTGTTATAATTCGATGCAATTCGGTTCAAACTGCAAAACCAGGAAGAGATGAGATTGCGAGATAGCGAGTCTATCATGCAAGTATCATCATTCAGGTGGTCGGGTCCCAACGTACTGATCATGCATTACCGGTTATATTGATGACTTGGAGGTGGGTTTAGCACCTGATATTGGTCCTGGCTATAGTCAGTGGGATGCGCAGCGCAACTTACGTTATTGCGCCCGCTCCTAGCAATAGTGTGGCAGATGATCCTCCAATCTCAGGGATGAGTCTCGGAGAGGGAACAACCGATTTGATCTGTCGCAGAGCTCCTCTTATCCTCGCCGGGGGGCCTCGCGATTGCTCTTTCAACGGAAATCGTAGGGTATGAGTTATAACACAACAGTTGTTTATCTAAGTCGCCTGATGAGAAAGGCAAAGTCAGAGATTGGTTCACTGTCAAGGATCCGCAGAGCACGAATCAGCGTAGGAAAGAATGCGCATCAAAAGCAAAAATTTCGAGAGAAAGTGGATCCTCGCTCTGATAGCAAGGATCGGACAGCCTGAGCGGTACGGGCGAAGGCACAAAGCACGCGATATGCTTCTGGATGTAGCGAGCCTACACACACAGCTCGCCAGGATCGAGGTCGTCCTTCAAAAGGGGATAGTAAGCTTGCTTCAGGATGCCACATTCACCTGTGCATGAGAGATGGGAGGATGAGACCGAGAGCGTTCACACCTTTGCCACCTTTTCCACGGAGCAGTCTACCATAGCCCTGCATCCCCCAATCCGTGCCCCAGGAGTTCTTGAACTCCCAATATCTATGAGCAGATTGGTCATCCTCAGTGAAGGCCATACTTACTTGGTGCCGTCTTTATCCTCCCCATAACC